TACTTACTCTTCCTTAAGCCAAGAGCTATGCCATCTGATCAAGTCCTGGATTTGACAGAAGCGTACTTTTATTTTGTAATTATTACTTTCAATTGAAGTGAAATTTACATTCAATAAAGTCAAATCACAAGTGTCGAGCATTGTATTTCTTCTGTACCTGTACAAACATATGAATCGAGATGCATCTCTTATATCTGGATTCTTCCACACACTGTGTTTGTGAAGTGATCAGTGAACAAGGTTCAATTTTTAAAATGCTAATTTGAAGGATATTTGAAAATTTTTTAAAAGGACAAAGTAGATTTTAAAATAGCATTTGAATTATTTAATGCACACATTTAATATTAAAACTTTAATTTATATACTCAAAATTGATACTGGTATTGTAACTAGGATTTGGTGAAATTCTGATGTCACCTGGTTGACTTCTGGCAAAGTTAAACATTTATTTATTTATTTATTTATTTATTTATTTATTTTTGAGGCAGGCATGCTCTATGTTGGGAAGACTGGCCTCTGGGCTTAGTCCTTCCAATTCAACTTTTGTAGACTATAGCCAGAAGCCTTAGTTGGTTTTGTTTTTGTTTTCTTTGTTATTGTGATAAAATACAAAAGCAACTCAAGGGAGAAAGGATTTATTCAACTCATCATTCCAGGATACCCATCATGGTGGGGAATCCCTTATATAGAGGTTAGAAGCGATTGGGCACGGTCAGAAGCGAATGATGGACACTTTATGCTGTTTGGTTTCTGACAAGGACCCCATGGCAGAAAATGTGGTACTGCCAATCATGTGGCTACAGGCAGACAGATACATGAAGAGGAGACAACAGATGCCCAGATACATACATGATATATTCCCATGAGAACTGAGGTGACCTCAAGAGAAACAGTCCAGACTCACTGTACATTATCATCCCTCTTTAAAGCCTTACACCCCAACATCACTAGCCAATTTCAACACCAGCTTCAGTAGGAGCTGACTGCATCCAAACTGTAGTGCACAGAAGTAAAAACTGCAAGCACCTGTGTAACTGTGGTGCTCCCTCAGATTCTTTAAGAGATGTATGTGAGATTTGGGGAGGTAAATGTTTTTCTGCATGTGTGATAGTTGGCAGAATTGTGGGAATCACTAGCATGAGCCTGACCAAAAGAATTTGTGGAAAATGGTCCTGTGACCTCAGGACTACTGACAACTAACCAAACAAGTGATAGAAATTCTAAGATGAGAGGAGGGCATCTCTGCTCTATTTAAATGGCTCTTGAATAGGACAGTCATTCAAGACAGAAACAATGTAATGAAGAAAAAGAAAAAAGAGCCACAGAGGACAAAGAGAGAGAGAGAGAGCTGTGCTAATGTCACAGATGCACATAATAAGAAACCAGAAGTTTATGAGAGTGCAATAATTACTTGTAAGTATGGCTGAAATAATACAGGCTTTAGAGATATACAGACTCTATTTATCTCCTGTACTTATCTTTTGACTTTGACAACCTTGCAGGCAGCATGAAAACAGGGCGCTCCCTAGTAATTGCCACTTACTCATATTATTTTTAAATAGTAATATAGGTGCCAACTACACACACATGCACACGTGTGCAAACTCCTGAGTTCACACACACATATACATAAACATACCTGTGATAACTCTCATTTCTCCTGATAATCATCGCTGTGCTAAGTGGCCCCTGTGACAAACCTTCTGGGTCTGCATTCTGTACCACATGTTCGGACTTGACACAAACACCTACATGCTTTTATTATGCCAACAGATCTCACAATACAGTGGTGCCATCTAATTAGCACAATTACAGATGTTTCACACATATGTACTGATATGCATAGGGAAATGTTAAAAAGTGGCTAGAATGCAGATACATGTTCCAGCTAAGCACGTAGATGCTTTCCAGTAGTGCCTGGGACTCAAGGGGAATCTTTAGAAAAAAGTTAGAATTGTCCAAAGTGAGGGAGGAGGGGAGAATGGCAAAGAAGCTTGTACAAGAGCCCTAGGATGCCAGTGAGGGAAATCACAGGCTTGTCTAATCAGTGATGTATCTCACATGCTCTAACCCTAGTAATGTACATGCATGGCTCTGGAGTCAGACGGCCAGGCAGGCTCTGAACCTAAAGCTTATTGTCTGTATATGAAATTACTTTCACTCCTTTCCTAACTGTATGTTATTTTGCTTATTGGTGTGACACAGTACTTATATCACCCATGATTTCTAAGACAAAATTAAAATCATTCAATATGCAGAGTTTTAAAGGTGACTGAAAATCAAAGGATGAAGCAGGTGGTAAACATGTGAACTATTCTGTTGGTGTATTTTGTGTTGCAGGAACAAAGTACTAAAGTAGTTTATAAAATAACACTTACCTGGCTCACATTTCTGGTAATAAAAGGGCCAAAGAACATGGCAAAGGCTTTTCGGCTTCTTCTGGCGAGAACTCACTCAATTCTCTGCAAGGATGGTTCCTTCATGACCTGATTCGCTTATGCTGAGCCCCTCCTCTTCAGAGTGTCTCCCACTTCAAGCCCACAACCCTAGGGTCAATGCTTCCAGCATATAATCCAGGGGGCTCATGCCATATCTTAACTCAACAGACAGCAATCAACTATTGTCATTACGTCACAGAAAACAGAAAAACATGCACAAAATTGGCACCATGGAAATTTCAGTAGTTGCAATCTACTAAAAAATCAGGCATTTTAGGATTGTAAATTCACTGTCTTGAGATTAGGGACTTGTCCAAGGTTAAAAAGCACACTGAACACTTTAATCTACCCTTCTCTAGAAGACCGGTGAATGCAGATTGGCAAACAGGAAACAGCTGCTGAAATTTTGTGGCAGAGGCAAACGAAACCAGCAAGCAAGGGAGCCAGAGCATACAGCCCGAAGGATTCACTCGTGAGCAGCACTACACTTTCAGAAAAGAGACACCATTTGCAGAAGTGATGGATGACAGTTTTCTGAATCTGATGTTAAAAATACCAACAGATTTCAGGGGCTCAGAACATTCACGTCGGTAAAATAATGGGAAGGACCGAAACAAAACAGAAGGGGGAAAAAAAAAAAAAAAAAGGTTTTGTTTCGTGAGACAGTTTCATGCCATGAGGCCAGGATGGCCTCAAACTTGCCTTGTAGCAGAGGCTGACTCCTGATCCTTCTGCCTCCACCTGTTCAGAGCTGGTTTCAGAGGAGTGTGCCACTATGCTCAGCAGGTTCTGACCTTCTGTCACATCACTGGTATCATCCCTTAAGGGTTCTAAGGTAACCAGTTCTTCCTTGCAGCTCCTTGAACAGACCAAGGCTTCCTCTCAAGGCTTCCCAGTGTTTTCCCTTCCTGGAACATTGTCTTAGGTTGGCTTTCTATTGCTGTGAAGAGATATCATGACCACTACAATTCTTACAAAAACAAATTCTTACAAAAAAAAAAAAAAAAATGTGGGTTGGTCCACATTTTCAGAGGTTCAGTCCATTGACATCATGTATGACATGGTGGTATGCAGGCAGACATGGTGCTGGACAAGTAGCTGAGAGTTCTACATCTTGACACACAGGCAACATGAAGTGGTCTGAGACACTGGGCATGGCTTGAGCATATATGGCACCCCAAAACCTGTTTCCACAGTGACACTTCCTACTGTACCAACTCCAACAAAGTCATACCTCCTAATAGTGCCTCTCCCTTTAGGGGTCATTTTCTTTCAAACCAACACAAATATTCATCTCATATCTTTTACCCCTTTTTGCACAAATGAGTTTTTCAATGAGACACTTTAAAAATCATTTCTCACTCCACACCTACTTGAGCATCTCACCTCTAGCCCACTGGGTTCTGACCTCTGACCCTCTTATTCCCCCATGCTTTATTTTGTCTCACAAGAGTATGCATATCGTCTGTTCCAATCAATCATATTTAATACATTAATTTCTTGCTGCCACAGCTGGTAAGTGCTATAGGATAGGTGTTGCAAAATTGTTGCTATATCAGCTGAAATGCTTCTGGCTGCAAATAACTGCATTTCTGATTGGCAGTAGCTTGTGAAACAATATTTATTTATTCTACAAGAACTGGGAAGTTGTAGGCCCCTTGCACAGAAATCTAGCTGAAGCCGTTTCCAGCAGCAGATCACGGCTTCCAGCACAATCAAACAACTGTTTAAGGCCTGTGTCCTTCCCAGCCACAAACCTGTCATTTTCTAGGAGTTTTAGCAGAAAGTATATAGGAAGAGTATGCACTTAGCCCTTTATGCAGTGGATTCTGCTTTTACATGATCAGATTAGGACTTCATTCACGGTGGAGACCACCTCACCAAGAGAGAGCAGTAAGAGGGAAAAAAGGGGGGGTTGTTTGTTTGTTTGTTTTACTGTAGTGATTTGCATGAGTATGAAGACTGATACTCGAGGCAGTAGGGGAAGTTTGGGGGCGGTGTTTGGAGGAAGTGTGTCACTAGAGGCAGGCTATGTGAGTTTAAAGCTGGCTCCATTTCCAGTTTGCTTTCAGCTTCCCGTTGCAGCTTTGACGACTGCCTGTTGCCTCCCCACCAGGATGGACTCTGATATCCCTGGAACTATAAATCCAAATAAACTCTTCTACAAGGTGCTTAGGCCATGGTATTTTATCACAGCAACCCATGAGTACATATGGCTAATGCCAAGACAGATACCTGCACACTCTCCCTTGAGAAGCCCATATGCACACTTGGCTACACCCTACTCTTTTTTTCTTTTTTTTGAGAGGCCCACACTCATACTCTTGAGTGTGTCTTACTTTCCTCTTAAGTTTTGAGTTTAAGCCTAAGTTAAAATATCTTCAATAAAATTTTTAATCCTGCTTTACTTTACGTGGGTACTGTGTGCATCAGGAAAGTCAGTCAAACACAAATGCCTCTCAGCATAAGAACAATGAACAACAATGTGGGATGGGCAAATCATAGCTTCTATAAGAACACTCGTCATTTTCTAAATTTTTATAACAACAACGGAGCCACAATACAAGTCATTTATTTCAATGGTTCAGAAAACATATACATACATATATACATGTATATTCATGTCGTGTGTGTGTGTGTGTGTGTGTGTGTGTGTGTGTGTATTGCCTGGCTATTTTTCTGTAGCTTTAGGATTTTAAACATAAGGACACACACTTCAGTAATCACACCAAGTTAATCTACACTGCCTATGAGTAGAAACATTGGCAGCAAAGCAATAATTAGGAACAATGGAATTCTAGGAAGGATAAGCTTATGAGGGAGAATATCACAGGAGCTTCCAATACTGAATTCTGATAATAAATCTGAAGCTCAAGCCTGAAGAGTTATGTTCTCAAATACATGTCATTTTATACCCTAACAGAAAAATGTAGTATCTCCACTCGAGTATGAATGTTGGATTTTCTTTTCTAGTTATTAATTTTATAGTCCACACATTTTTCTGAGTATGTATTTCCAAACTGGGAAAAGGTAAAAACAATGGGATGACATATATAAAAGTATTTTTTGAAGGAAAATCACTCTGTGTGTGTGTGTGTGTGTGTGTGTGTGTGTGTGTGTGTGTATGTGTGTAAAAATAAATGGTTTTGCTTTATAAGACATAAAAAAGATTTTGTTAAGGAAGTCACACTCCTGAGGTCAGGCTATGAAAGTGTACTTGCTGTGAGCTCATCATCTTAATTTTCCAAGTTTTGATACAACCACTGATTCTCAACACTACCTTGTGACATTGGATAGTATGTTTTTCTAAATAATTTCCATAGATTGCCACAGTAAGACTGCACACATACTCTATATGCAGCCTAAGGTTTATTGTGAAAACTTGAAAGTGTCTGTTGTTCAAATGTCATAAATAACTATTATTGCTCGTGTGTCAATTCTGCCTGCCCTGACTGCCTTATCAGGATGTCAGTGTGCGCTGAGCACTCTGCAGCTGCGTCCACGATGCCAGGCCACCTAAGTGCCTCTGTCTTCATCATCCGAGGCAGTGCCAGCATCCACATCCTCGTCACTGTCCTCTGTCCCTTTGAGACTTCTTCTGCCATTAGAACTTGGATTTTCAGTATTTACTGAAGTTTCGGGTTCTTTATTAAACCTAAACAGAGGAAGAAGAACAAAAGTTTATAATTATTACCCAGGCTTTCACTATTTAATGGTGGAGGTTTAAAAGGCCTTTCCTAGTCCCTTCCTATCAGGAGCCTACAGAACAAGAACCTCGTTTAAAGACTGCTTCACTCCAGTCAGCAGGTTCTAACAGTGCTGTGAGATGAGTGGCCTCAGGGTTAGAAAAGGGAGTCCATGAGGGAGGATTGCTAGGGAATAAGTCATTCTTCATAATGAATCTGAAGCTCAAGCCTGAAGAGTTGATGTGCCCCAAAACATGGCATTTTATACCCTAACAGAAAAATGTAGTAAGACTGTGACCCTTTCCCGTCATACAGAAAACTGCTTGCATTAGTGGGAGATATACAACTTTAAACTGTGTTAGTGCTGCCTAAGAGAAAGCTCATGGATGAATTACTAAAAACAACTCCAATATAAAGGGAAATACTCACGGAATAACAATGTCTTCTTTCTTCCCACATTTTGCACAAACTTCAAGTTCACAAGCACATGGTCTGCATATTATGTGGTAAGAGTCCTTCACTGTCTTTTGTAAACATTTAACACTGAAAGAGGAAGGGAAAATTAAATACTGATTTTTTTTTTTTTTTTTTTTTACTACTTAAGATCTATTTGATGGGGTAAGAGAAGTGGTGGCTGATGTATGGATTAAAGGACTAAAAACTGAAAACTAGCCTTAAAGCTCAAATATTTATCTACTGTATGTGTGTATGTTTGTGTGCACATGTGTGTACAGGCCAGAGGTCAATCTGAGGTATCATTTCTCAGATACCATGACCTTGTTCTTTCAGACAGAGTCTCTCACTGCCTTGGAGCTTGTAACGTAGGCCAGGCTGGCTAGCCAGCAAACTGCAGGGATGTGCCTGTCTACTTCCCCAACAGTGGGAATGACGAGCTCACAGCACTGTACCTGGCTTTTCATATGTGTTCTGGTGACTGGACTCAGGTACTCCTGCTTACACAGCAAGCATTTCCTTGACCGATCTGTCTGTCCAGTCCCTAAAGTCAAGCTCTGATATTTATCTTATACCACTTTAAGTAACAGCACTTCTGGATCAAAGCTCACAGCTGCAAAATAGCACCTGACGGTCGTCTACCTCCTTAAAGTTTTTAAGTGTCATCAAAAACTTGTTAAAGTAATGTGTATATGCAAAAGCTAACTGCACATACCACCCATATACAATCTACAAAAAGAATAAAGGTGTAACAAAACTTTTGTAAACCCAATACACAGAACTAACTGAAAATATTACTAAAAAACTAAATACCCACACTGACTGTATCAACCACATCCAGGGCAGGTCGCATGCCGAGATTACTTGTCCAACACAAAATGAACTCAATGGTATTTTTATAGACTTTTTGAAGGGAATAAAAAGTGCTACTCTAGTGAAGATGGGGATAACAACATGGGAGAACCATGTGGCAGGGAGAGAACACTGGTAAAGATAGAAGTTCCTACCTGCCACATTCTCATAAACCAAAGCCAACTCCACAACAAGTCCCTAATTTGTTTTAATTCTACTATGACCAAGGAAGGCGAGGAAGGCTGCACAAGGAAAGTCTGATGATAGCTGATGTTGGTCCACGAAGTTTTAAGGGAAGAGGCCATCTTTATAACTTGTAAGTTCAAGGTCTCATCTAGGACCACAGCAATGTGGACGATCTAGTTAACAGAACAGATGACGGTGGCTCCACTGGAGAGTCCCAAGGTAAACACAGTAGCGAAGGAGATGAAGTCCAGACCTTTTACTGGTAGGGAGAAGTCAGTTCTAGGTTTCAAAGCTTGTCTGGAATGGCTACGTGTCTTGTTAGAGTCCAGTGTAGATGCTGACTTTAAAAAAAAAATCAGGGTTCACGTACGGTTTGGAAAATCCGTTCTTTAGTTTATACTAAATGTGCTCTGGCTGTGCTCCACAAATGAAGCAACTCCACAAATGAAACAACAAAGACAGGATAATGGCACAACTGTCTAGAAGGTCATTCAGGAAATATTTAAGCCCACTGTAGAGATCTGCTGCTCATCTAGAATGCCCCTGATTACTGGAATGCTGTACACTTCCTTGTCTCAATGTAGCACATGTTTTGTAAGGTAAACATTAAGAACTAGTCAAGATGCCATGAACAGAAGCAAGTGACATATTCCATTTGATATTAAGAAACAATAAATTACATAGAAAGATAAAAAAATACAACAAAGCTGTTAGCAAATCAAATCTTGAGACACATACATTTTTGACAGGAGCTTGCCCTCAGAACACAAGGCTGATTCAGCACTAAAACCTAATAAGCTTCATAAAAGAATGTTCTAAGATAAAAATATGGCCATTCCGGTTTAACTAGAATTATCCTGTGTGAGGTAACCCAGACACAGAAAGACAAATATATTGTGTACTCACTTATATATGCATTTAATTTGTTAAGTCAATGATAACCAAGCTATAAACCATAGAACCACAGAGGTTACAAATAGAGTAAGGGACTGGGGGAAGAGAGTATGATATTTGATAACTCTGTGAACCCTAAGTTTGCATTAATTACATAAAATTAATCTTGGGTCAGGAGGCAGGGCCAATGATTAGTTGACAGAAAGTAATTGTAGAGAGTCAGGAGTTTGGAAGATGGAGAGATGCACAGGAAGCAGTGGGAGGGACTTGAGTGTGGTAGTCTTTTTTTGGTTTGGCAGAGCAGAAGGATGCTCTTTCTGAGACACTGGGGAAGAGGGAAGGTCAGCTAGTTGCTCCTCTGCCCCCAGTCTCTGACTCGTGAGTCTTACCAATAAGTAGAACAACAAAGATTAAGTTAAAAACTACATTTGGTGGCAATGGCAGGAGACAGATCTACCTGAGATGTTAAAGTCCCACAGGGCTGCTGCCTGAGAAGAGGGCCAATAACTACAGAGCCATAGTTACTGGTTGAAATAGCATTAGATTCAGTTGCAGCCGCTGACTCAGGGGGCACATAGATTTCGTTAAGAAAGGTAAATAGAATAGCCTGTTATGATAGATGGAAATGCACGCATAAGATGACCATATAGAGAGAGGAAGGGGAGAGGATTATGAGGGAGGAAATATGAGCTAAAATTAAGGACCATTTGAAATGAACACAATAGAAACTTCTCAAAATATATACATATACGACAATGAAATCAACAAATAATCGGGGACAGAGCCCTAATTAGCCATCTTTGATCACCAAACAAAGCTTCCAGTACCAGGATTGGGATAGAGCTACTTGAGTTGTTGAGGAAAGGGGTCCTATGGAAATCCCCAAATAACCCAGACTGTTGCCAACACTACAGGTTTCTCTCCACAAACTGACACCAAGGCTCTGTTGATGAAGACAAACAACTCATTGAACATGGAAAGGAAAGCTAGTGCCTACATAGAGACTTCATCCCTATGTGCTAGTGTCTTTGGTACAGGAGGATACTCTGTATACTACCAAAGGAGAAACAAACACCAAACCAGGGACAAGACCTTTGATCTACAACGATGTCCTGCCTACAGGCTATGCTAAGGCAATGGTGGCATAAAGCGTGTGGGGGCAACCAGCCAATCTCTGATTTGACTTAATACCCACTCCACAAGATGGAACCCATATTAGACACTGATTAGGTAACCAAGAACCACAGACTAGACAGCCCAGAGACCTAGGTACACCAAATACTAAGATTGTTCTACTAAAAGAACACAGGAATAAAATGACTTCTAATGATATTCTGCTCTACTCATAGATCAGTACCTTGCTCGGCCATCATCAGAGAAATATCCCCCTGCAGTAGATGGCAATAAATATGGAGAAGACAAGGTGCAGAGAAAAAAGGCCTTGAGACACTCAGTCCCAAAATGAGATTATCTCCATGAAATCCCTCCCCTCAGGGCTCAAGGAACTCTGCAGAGACAGAAAGATCGTAAGAAGCAGTGAGGGTAGACAATACCAGGGAAACAAGGCCTTCTAAACACAACAGGCCTGAGGTACATATAAACTCACAGAGACCGAGGTAGCATGCACAGGACCTCCAAGGGTCTGTACCAGACAGGTTCTAGAGCTGAAAGGAGAAGTGGACACATGACGTCATCCCTAACATAGAAGCTACCTCCAGTTGATAACCACAGGAGTCTCACTGGGAAGCAAACAGCTCTTAAGCAAAGGCCTCATGCCCAGCAGAAGATGGTCAACAGCAAATAAACTCAAGAGCATCTTTGGAAATTCCTTGTCTCAAAATGTCATGTCAGGGCTTTTAAAAAATATATATATATTTCCCTTGTTTTTTAATCCTACAAACCCTTTATGGCATCCAGTTCAGTGTTTTTATGGGGTTCCTGAGCATGTGAATGAATTGTGTCTATATCTGTTCCTTGTGCTTTTTCTTGGGCTCTTTTCTTTCTGTTTCCTCTATCCTATTCTGATGTGTTTGTTTTATCTCACTGTATTTAATTGTATTATTGTCCCATAGGTGCCTGTTTATTTTCTAATGAGACACACAATGGGATGGATCCATATGGGAGGGAGGAACTGAGAAGAACAAAGAAACTGTAATCAGGGTATATTATGTGAGGGGGGGGGGAATCTATTTTCAATAAAAGGAAAAGAATGGGACAATGATCCAACTACTTATTCACACATGTATCTAGGTTGGAATCCCTAGAAGACATAAACTACTTTTTAAAACTTACCTCTGTATGTACAATAGTCTAGCATGTTGCCAAGCTCAATAACAATCGAGACAATTAATTAAAATGCACTGAAAATGCAGGGAGAGCAAGAAGCTAGAAGTAAACATTTACACACCCACATCTTTTATGTGTACTCATAAAGAGGCAATGGCATAGCGACAGGAAGACTGAAGGTAACATAGGAAGGGTGATGGTCAGAGGCCACAGGACAGTTAAAATCTGCCATGCACATTGCCTATGCAGTAAGTCACTTCATACAGAGACTTTTAAAGTAAGAACAGTAAAATAGCAAAACAAACAGAAAGTACACACAAAAGCATGGAATCGATTTTGTGTTAGCCAGCCAGTCCTGAACATGGGGCCTGCCCTGGAGTATGGAAGAAATATTTTTCTCTAGTGGAGAAAATGACTTTTCCCTTTCCCACCAGGTATCCATCACAAATAGCTCCTTAGTGGGAGGATCTGAGAGGAGTTGGGGGAAATAAAAGAATATGATCAAAATATAGTATATGAAAACTTTTTAAATAAAAAAGAACATTAAAATAGCAATGAATAGTACTTAAGCCCTTTCCCTTCCCAGTTGTAGATCTGGTTTTATACAACTCTCACAAGAACCCCTCCATTTACAGTTAACAAAACAAACAAAAAAGTTCCTTTGCATAACCCTTATTACCCTGCTTTTGCCATAAGGGACGATAAGGAGATCAAGGCACCTTCAGAGCATGGTGCCATCTCACTTATGGAAAAAGGAGGAGAGATGGGGAGAGTGTATCAGAAGCCCTTTAAGCAAAAGCCCTTCCAAAAGCCTCCAGAGTCCTGTACATACAGCACTGCTCCGTTACACAGCACCAGCAAGTCTCACTCTT